ATCTATCTTGGATTTTCGTAACCGGAAGTTTTAGCCAACAAAAACGACTTTTGGACCAAATTTCAGTAGGAACTGAAGTTTTACATCCACTGTACTGTCAAGAAGAAAGGTTGAAAAAATTAAGAATAGTTGTTTTGGAAAACATAAAATAGCTAAACAGAGTTTTGAAATATAAATAGTCTTACAATATTGTTATAGTTGCTTCCATTTGGACTTATTTTAAACTAATATATCGCGAAATAGTCAAATCATGTACAATCTCTTATATAGGACTCTTAAGGACAACAATTACATTATCACTTCTGTCAATTAATGAATTTTTGGAGAAAAACATAGTTTGGTATAGTTTCAATTTGGTGGAACCCCATTAGGAATAGTTTGATATCCCACTTCTATAGATGCTGAACCAAGATAAGCAAATGCGTGCACAGCTAGGAAAAAATGTAATTGTTTTGAATGCAGTAGTAGGTATTTATGCATGGTCGTTTAGCTATACACTACAGCCCAACAGGTAGGGAAGTGCTTCATGTAAATAAATTAGTGTAAAGCGTGGAAGATTTTTTTTTTTTTATATTAGTTGCAAATATGTTTTATGAGATGGAATTTATGCATCCGGACTTCTTGACTGTAGTAATAAGCTATTGTAAATTATAATTTCTTAGGTATATGTGTGTTAATAAATATTGTTATATCTTTAAAAACCTAACGAATAATTTACATTTAGGGAGGCACACATAAACATTTTTTAAGTCCTTCGGAAGAAGAATTTGAAACTGATCAAATTGTTAATGGTGGAACTTATCAATTTTGGATTACAGCGTCCACAAGTATTGGAGAGGGAGCAAGTACTCGTGTTGTTACTATTACACCAGGCAATAAAAGTAACTGATAAGTATCATAATATGAGTTTGATAAAATTATTTTATTACTAAAATACATTAAGAATATCAAAGTTCCAGCAAGAATCGTGTCCTTTAGTCAGCATATTGTAACACCTTGGAAACAAAATCTAACCCTTCCCTGCCAAACTGTTGGACTACCTCCTCCTATAATAACATGGGACTTCAAAGGAAGCCACATTGGAACTAAAAGTAACCGTTTAGAAGTAAGGAATTATCAATTTGAAACAAGAATATATTTATCATTGTATAAAATTCTATTTCATCATTTGTCATTTATTTTTTACAGATAAGAAAAGATGGACTATTAAATATACGTGATATTCAACATCTTGACCAAGGGAACTATAGCTGTAATGCTGAAAATCTTCATGGAACTGACAAAATTGTCTATAAAGTCATTGTTAGAGGTATTTTTACTAAAGACTACATCATATCAAGCCGTCCAAAAATGTACTAATGAAACATAATAAAGGGCGATAATATTAAGCATCTGATCAGAAGGAATGAGAGAAAAAAATATGCATAACAAACAACTCAGAAACATAAATATATTTACATTTGTTGAATAAATTACATATACAATTAATTAATATAATATAAAGTGTTCCAAGATGTATATGACATTCATAGTTAACACCCAGTGGATTCAGAGCTACTTACAAATAATATAACCTTCCTCTACTGTGTTTGTACAACATTTTGTTTCTTTCATTATGTTGTTGGGTGGCTTGATTTTATTTATTCTTAGTTATTATAATTATGTTTTATATGAATGTATAAATATTTATAGGCAATTATAATGGTGTATATTGTGAATGTTATTACTTTGTGAATAATAAAACAAATCTGTACCGCTAACAACCCATTAAGGGTCTTGAATTCAGTACAATGTGAGGGATTACTGTATTAGGCCAATGGTTGTGCAGGAAAGTGATTAGGCCGATATCACGCTCAACCGCAAGGTTTCACCCCTTAATTAGTTATTTAATCAAGAGTATCAAATTTATAGAGGCTGGGTTTGCCCTAGAAGGGTCTCCGGGTCCCAAGACCGATTCACGGCAGATGGAAAATTACTAGTCTTCAGTCGGATACGAACCAGGGAACTTGAGCTGTTGGGAGTCATAGTCCAGTAAAATTAAGGATTGAACCCAACGTTAAAAAAATTAAAAAGAAACTTGTCAGAAATTGTTTATTACCTTCCCTATAGTAATTGATAAAAAAACCCAAAGAATCATGAGTCGGATTTAGATAGGGTTAAGGGGAACAGAGAAACGATATTTTTTTTAGTTTTTTAAGAATATCTCAAAAACCATGAGGTTTTTCGATTTAATAAAAAATTGCATCAAACCAGAAAATTGATGCTCAAGGTTAGATTGACATTAACATCATGTAATTGATAATATGTAACAGAATACATTAAAATTACCATATACCATGGTCTGATTACATATAGAGAACTAGAAGGGGAAATCTTATATCTGGTAATTTAACAGCCAACCACGTTTTATGTTGAATAAAAAGCAATAACTAAAAAATGTTTAATTTAGGTTGCAACAAATTACGCCATAGTAAACTAGATTAAATCTACATTAAATACAAGTAAATCTTGTTAATTTGAAGACTACTTTTAATCAGTTAAACTACGGGAAGTTCGTTTTTTTTTCTTCTTTTTTTTCATAAAATCAAAGATTTTTATGATAATTAGGATTTTTAGGATTATTTTATTAATTGATTTTTATTATAATTGATTAGGAAGGATTTTTTTAATAACCTCCCATCTAGACTGAACATATTACACTTTCAGAAAAACTTCCTTGTTTGATGAGATTTAAGTCAATATTAATTAAAATAAGTTTACATTTTCTCTAATTATGTAAAAATATTATAAGTACGATAAAATTATGGATCGTCCCCAATAGTTACATCTTATAACACAATTAGGGATGAATCTCAACTTACTCTGTAAAAACCCGCTACCTAATTAATATAAATTAACTCATATCAAACAAGTACGTTTTTCTGAAATCATGATATCTTGCTCGAGTCCAGTTGGGAGGTTATAAAAAAATATATTCAAGTATCCTTGATTTACAAAAAATCGAACTTACTGTGGTGTTACTGCTTCAAAGTTCACTTTCAATGGTTTTAAAGTAGACAAGATTTACTTGTATTTAATTTAAATTTGAGCTAGTTTACTATAAAGTAATTTTTTGTGACCTAATTTTTTTTTTTAATTTCTTAATGGTATTTACAACTGTATAAAAGAAATACATTTAGTATATTTGAACATATGGATATAATGACGTGAAAACACTTGTTGAGAAACTACCCAATGGTAGCACTCTAATGATATGTCTACATTAGGAGATCACGGGGCCATCTTCTTTTCAGACCCCACGGAGGGTTATCTGGAATTGAAGAGGAAGCAAGGTTAGAAACGAGAGGGTTGGGATGATTCTGAAGTTTATTATGGAAGGATAGCTATCTGGATTGGGCCAGATCTGCAACATAAGAAACATTAAGGTCATTATCGATGGTTTTGTTTGTAACCAAGTAGGGAGCATTAAGGATTTTACGAAGGATTTTGGATTGTAAGGATTGGATAAGAGAGGAATTCGACTGTTTAGTGGAGCCCCATAGCTCAACTCCATAAGTCTAAATAGGCCTTATTATAGTCATGTATATGAGTCTTTTGTAATTAATTAGAAGTTTAGAGACTTTGTCTAGTAAGTGCTGAAGTAATCGGAAACGTCGAGCGGTTTCTTATCGTTTCAGTCTGGTATGAGGATTCCAAGTTAAACGTTTGTCCAGTTGGAGTCCTAGGTAGCGGATTTGCTATACAGAGATAAGTGGAGTATTGTTAAAGGAAACTGTTGGGCATGAAGTTATAGGTTTACGACGAAGGGTAAAGGTAATTTGGTGGGATTACCTAAATTAAACATTTTTTTTAGTTTTTGCTATTTATTAAACATAAAACGTGGTTGGCTTAAACATTACAAAATTTAAGTTTTCTGGTTCTGTATATGTCATCAGACTGTGGTTTATCTTATTTTTTAAACAAGTTTTAATGCATTCTGTTACATATTATGAATTATATGAAATTAATGTCAATCTGAACTTCATATCATCATCACGAAATTCCCCATTGATTGATATAGAATATAATGCTGATGTCAAAGACTTTTGAGAATCATTAATAGAAAGAAACTTTGAATAATAATTTGAAGGATCGAAAAAGTTAAAAAAATAATTACACTTAAACTTATATACAACAGGACCTATATGAGACCAGAGCCTTGACACATGGATGAGAAGGAACAATGAAGAACTGTTTAAAGAAAAGGGTCAGTCAATATCTCATGACATGAGGCCAAGGAGGTTAAGATCGGTGGGCATGTAGCTCGTTGCAATCAGGACGCCTTTACACAACAATGAATGTCAGAGTAGTAGGCAAGAGACCACGTTGGAGGCCAAAAACCAGATGGGTAGATAGGATAAACAAACTTCATGCCGCAAACTGGAAAGCAGTGGCCCAAGATAGGCAGAGGTGGGGTGGAGAAGGCAGGTTCAGGCGGCCAAAGATCAACAAGGTCTGTAGAGCCGAACGAAAAAAAAAAAAAAAAAAAAAAAAAAAAAAAAAAAAAAAAATATATATATATATATATATATATATGTACACACATATATGTCTTTTTTTCGTTATGGAAGAGATACAAACTGGAAATGTAATAATAAAGATCAATGAAATGAAACATCAATCAACCAACCACTAATGCTAATGCTAAGATGTAGAATCTGCTTATAGATAAAGTTTTTATTGTATAAAAGATTGCAGCAAACCTTTAGACATCTACGCCTTATGACAAATTACAAATTTTATTTAGGAATTATAGGATTTTTAATCTTCACACGAATTAAATATTTATAAAATCCTGAACATTTTTTTTTCACAAAAGAGAGCAAAATAAAACAGGTAATATTTTTTATCATTTTGTTATAAAAATATTATTTAACATTTTTTTTAATAAATAAAAGACAATAAATATTTTAAATCAGGTTTTAATTTTAACCTGTTAATAAAGATTTTATTGATTTCAGTTCCTCCTCACCCTCCCCTTCTGCATGTTGTTAAAGCTGACGTTAACAGTTTGCATTTAAAATGGATAAATGAAGGAAATATCGAAATTCCAATTTTAGGTATTTATATTTTTTTAATTAGAACATATTTCAATGTGTATTATTATTTTTTAATATAATGTTGTCTTGCCTTAAATTTGAGCAATCTCTCCTTTTTTTTTTCTGTTAATTAAATTACTGTGGCTAAAGCTCTCTCGCTTGTAGTCCTGCTTTTCCTTCCATAGTTGGAGGGAGAAGCCTAGCTTGGGATTCCCTGCCTAATTGTATATATTTTATATAGGTATGACTGTGTTTTTATGTTTCTTAATTTACTTATCTTTAGGTTATTTTTTTTTATTGTACATAGTTTTTGATTATTATTTTACTATTGTTAGTTTTATATTTTCTGTATATATGGTGTGAATGTGTTCATATATCACTATAACTATTGTCCACGTGACAGATTGTTATATTTCTAAATAAATAAATTAAAAAAAATTATATCACACATAGAATATCACACATACTTACTTTGCTCTCAACTAAACAAAGTAAAAGACTCTAGAAGCTACAAATGTCTTAGCAGAACAAAGGACACTAAGATATCACCAGATACTGCAGGAAACCTCCAGGAAAATTGTGAAATATCTTACAGAAACCAAAGCGGATTTTCATACGCATCAATTACGGAAAGAGCAAGAATTAAGAGTGGTTATAAGAAATCTACACCCCTCATCTCAACTGAGGCAATAGAAGAAGAACTAAAAAGTTTAGGTTTTATAGTGCGCCAAATTTCAAATGTTCTCGAGGAGAGTAGGGAAGGGCCAGGCGTAGAAGTTCCACTACCCTTATTTTTCGTGTACTTGGAGCCAACTCAAGGGATCGAAAAAATATGAAATAAGAAGAATGTACTATACAAGTGCGATTATAGAGACGCCATATTTTAAGAGGGAAATCGTCCAGTGTCATAATTGCTATGCATATGACCACACCAAGACTAAATGCCATCATTTGCCGCATTGTGTGAAATGTGGAGAGCAGCACAAAATCAGTGAGTGCACAAAACTGAAACGAGATCCTGCCGTTTGTTCTTTATGCTATCAAGGATATGTAGCAAACTACAAAAGGCTGTCAGATATATAAGAATATCAAGTCAAGATATCAGAAATCTCGGAACCAAGGTGAAGGAGGAAAATCAAGAATAGAACCTAACGGATCAAGAAGAGAACCTCCCAAATTAGTTGACGAATTCCACCTAATCCTCAACAGTTATATCAACACCAAATTCCTCAGATTCCTTCTCCATTAAATACCACAGATCACACCAGTTTACTTACATCTTTACTATCCGAATTCAGATCTCTTGTCACATCTTTGATATCCCTTTCCCCAATCTTGTATCACATTGTATCCCTCCCCCCCCCCAAAAAAAAACCTTAATTGACTTCAAATAAATTTATATCCATTTCGTTCGGAATGCGAATGGTGTTCGAAACCATACAGACGAACGATCTGCTTTATTACTTGACAAGAACATTTACGTGGCATTAATTTAAGAAACTCGACTACCCAATAAAAAGCTCATAAAATACCAAAATATTTGACATATAGTACTGACCATCCTGACGGTAGACCACATGCCGGTACTGCTGTCATTGTATAAGCAGTATGCACCAATCCCTCTTCCATCACCTACCCAAGGTTTCTTACAATCCACCGCTATCTTAATCAAAACATTCTCCTTTCCGCTCACTCTTGCGTCAGCGTACTGCCCTCCTAACTGATCCATATCCAATGCCCAGTTCAGTTCTCTCTTCGACACTTAAGGACATCACTTTATCTTGGGTGCAGACGTAAATACCAAGCAACAACAATTGGGTTCATGAACCACGAATTCTCGTGGCAAAACATTGCTGTCTGCATTCAATCCCCGACGGTCCTACCTACTGGCCCACAGATCCTAAACGTAATCCTGATATCCTCGATTTCTTCATCCACAGTGGCTTAGATCCCCTCCAGTGTTCCATTACAGACCTCAACGAAATTTCCTCTGACCATAGTTCACTAATTCTCGATGTTTCACTAGAACCCGTCCTCAAGCTTCCTCCACCGTCATTCATTAGAGGTCCCGTTTACTGAATTTCCGCCAAATCCTTTTCGACAAAATAGACCTCAACATATTCCTGAAAACTCCCGATGATCTCGACTATGCCGTCAACTCATTTACTACTTCGATTCTACATATTGCTTAGATGGCCTCCTCCCGAAGAAAATCCTCTAGAAATTCCAAAGATTAACAATTTACCAAATCATCTTCCCGACCTAATCCATATGAAACTACGCACCAGATCATTGTAGCAATGTGCCAGAAATCCCGCTGATCGCCCCTCCTATAATCACTATTGCAAACAACTAAAGCGATAATAAGCCTTCTTTAGATCCGAATCCTTTACTTTCTACCTTTTCTTCCTTTCTGTTAGTGATAATTCCCTTTGGTAAATTACAAAAAAAAATATATATTAAAACCTCACCAGAATTCTCAACCCCTTCGACGAGATGACGGCTCCTGGTCAGCATCTGACGAAGATAAGCCGAGGAGTTCCCCAGCCACCTCTCTTATATATTTATTCACCACCCCCATCCCACTCACACCGAAACAGAAGAGGGATTCCTAACATCACATATTTCAATTTCCCTGCATCCTAAAGCAGTTCATCCTTCCGAAGTCAATTTTTTTTTACAAAAACTAATACTTCGCAAATCTCCTGGATATGATCTCCTTACCAGCCAGATCCTTCGACAACTCTCATCCAGAGCAGTCATATTCTTCACATATATCTACAATTTTATTCTACTTACCATCCACTTTCCTCTGTTTTGGAAACATTCCACTGTCGTCCTTCTCACAAAACTAAACAAACCTCCCAACAGCTTCACATCCTATAAAGAAATTAGGTTACTCCCAATTCTTTCAAATCTCTTTGAAAAAATGATTTTTAAATGAATCCTACCCATTACAGAACTCCCAAAATCTTCCTTCCCATCAGTTTGCTTTCCCCTATTAACATTCTATTGTTCCATTTTTTCAATATGTATTCAGTCAAAACCGCTATTCCCCAAATCAGGGTCTTGGGTCCCTTACTTTACATCTTCTTTAATGCTGACATTCATATTCATCCCGATACCTTCCTTGCAACATTCGCTGATGACACCACATTCTTATTATCCAACGCTGATCCCGAACTAGCATTCTCAAATCTGCAAAGGCACCTCTCTTTGATTGAGCACTGGTGTAATAACTGGCTCATTACAGTGAATGAATCCAAATGCCAACATATTACCTTTAATCTCCGATGCAATTCCTGTCCACCAGTACATTTTAATTCCATCCAGCTTCCTTTCTCGGATACAAGACTGTATCTAAGTCGGATACAGACTTGCCTTTCTTTTAGACCGAAGACAAACATGGAACCCACATACTAGACTTAAAAGACAAGAACGCAACCGATGATACGGCCAGCTTTACAGACTACTAAACAAAAAATCTAAACTTTCTATTGAAAACAAATTACTAATCTGCAAGACAATCCGGAAACCTATGTGGACTTACGGGCTTGGACTATGGGGCTCAGTAAAATTTTCTAACATCAATCGAACTCAATCCTTTCAATCTAAAGTCCTTCGTACAATAGTTGATGCCATTATAAGCAATTAACAAAACCTACACCATGACCTTAATATCCCATTTGTCTTAGTACCAGAAAAAATCTTCAAATTTCACAAGAACCTTAAGTATCATCTAAATCCCCTTGCCCAATATCTATCCAGCACTAACCTTCCCATCCCTCCCGAAGGTTGAAGCGGCAGTGGCCCAGAAACTTTTTATGAATAAATATATATTGGAGTTGTGGTAATGGCCAGATTCTCCACTCAAGCCTACTAATCACACTAATGTATGTGTGATTATAGCGCCTCTGGTTAGCTTCTACTGTTACTTAATACCAGTTATGCGGCGGAGTGATTGGCGCTGGAATCTCTTAGTACTGCCTTTCTTTCCACGAGTGGGAAGAAAGGGTTGGCTCGGATATCTTGAGTGTATGACTTTTTTTTTTAGATATTGTATAGAAATATGTTTGTATTTGGATAGTTATTTCCATTAGTTTAGTTTCTTTTTGTTTTGTTTAGTTTATATACATTTCCTTTTAGTATCATTATTTTTCTGTATCATATATTGTAAATGGAGTGTGATTGTGCTCTCTGAACACTATTATAAATGTCCTTAATGTTCAATTTGACAATTTTTACAAATAATAAGCAATGTGGCTGACTGTAATTTATCTGAATAAATATGTTTAAAAAAATATCTTATTTCTATTTATTATAGTTTAATTAATTAATTTATGAATATACTTTGTAAATAAAGAGTTAAAGTGCTCTTTAGTCACTATTGTCACATTCCTTGATGTGGAACAAATATTATATTATTCAATATAATTCATTCAATATGATTCAAGTTATGTGATTACACCTGCCTCATCCATCAATTTTAAATTCTAGGATATGTAATTAATTACAAACGTGATCATGGAGACTGGGAAGAATTACAATTAAAGGCTAGAGAAACGACCCATATTCTAACTAATTTATGGTGTGGCACCCGTTACAAGCTATATATTACTGCTTATAATAAAATTGGAACAGGCCTACCATGCGATATTATAAATGCTTACACTAAAGGGGCAGGTAAATAAAAATATTTCATTATTGAATGCATGCAAACATAGGCATGCTTAAGAAGAAAAGTATACAACACATTTTTTGAACCTTTTTTTTTTTTTTTTTAAGTACAAAAGTGTTTGTTGTCAAGAAAAGGACCAACTATTGTCAAGTATAGTTTTCAACCAATATTCATTTTACGTATTAATTATATATAATACTTCATGGCAGTTTCTTACTTATTTCCGTATTTTCCCTTTACATTAGGTAGATAAATAAAATAAATAAAGAGTTTTTTCCGCCTAAATTGGTCATCCGACCCACTGTGTAGCGCAGCGGCAATCAAATTAGAAAATATCAAGATCTTGCTTTTGAGTAAACATACTGTATCCCTTGAAAAATTGAAGATTACTCCAATAATAATATCTTTAAATGGTTTAATATTGAAAAGCACAGTAGAAGGTACCCAAGAACTTGGGCTTGATTTGGTGCATTTAAAAGAAGCACAAAAAGCAGTCCTGCTACCTACTACCTAAATACCACGGGCGGATTTACGGGGGGGGAGGGGCTTTCGGGCTGAAGCCTCCCCCCCCCCCAAATGGTAAAATATAACCATGTTTTATCGAAAAAAATATTAAAGAAGCATCTCTTAAAGTATTATTGTTCGTTTGATTAATATTAAAAGGGCTTTAGGAATCACTTAAACACCATTTCATACAGGTAGTTAGTTTCTTTCTTTTTTTTCAAAGTAATTATCGTTATTTTTGTGAAAAAAAAAAGAATTCGGGCTGAAGCCCCCTCCCAAAATTAAATCCTGGATCCGCAAGTGCTGAATACTGACTGTCATTTTCTTGTTTTAAATCTTCTTGATAACCATATTATAGATATTAGTGTAGAGCATTTCATAAGAAAAGTTTTACTTTGCAAGTTTCAGTGAATTAGTTTTACACAATTTGAAAACTTTAATTTTTTAGCACCTGTGAAACCTAACTCATCTCAATGGTTAGCAGTTAATTCTACAGCGATCACCCTGTGGCTGGATGCTTGGGGAGATGGAGGATGCTCTATACTGTATTATGTAATTGAATACCGACAAGAAAGCCGGTCTGATTGGATACTAACATCTAATCACGTTCCTCCAACTGAAAGAACTTACACAATTTCTGAGTTAAGACCAGGAACTAGATATTTCCTTAAAATAATGGTATATAATAACGCTGGATCTAATCAAGGTGTTTACAATGCAACTACCCTCGGTGAAGACGGATGTATGTTTGTCATTTAGAATATGAAGTTATTTAAAAAAAGAACTTTAATTAATTAATAAACTTATTTATAGCTCCCGTTTTACCTAAAATAATATCTGTACCTGAACACAACATCACATCAGTATATAGTGGAACAAAAGCAGTGTTGCCTATAGCTGTGATTTTAGTAATACTCACTTGTATTTTAATTAGTTGGGTGTATTTCAGAAAAAGAAGTAAGTATGACATTTTCTTTAGAACGCGATAAAACTTTCTTATGTGGTTTGTAAATTTTATATTAGTTTTATTGTTACATTTTTTCAGAAGAAGAAAATCAATTTGTATTAGGAGAATCGTCTTCTGTTGCTCAATTGCAAAATCAGCATAATCGTGATCAACAATATGCGGTACAAGGTGTGCAACTTCCAACTATGAGTCTAGATTCGTCTAGCTACAAACCTGATTCTTCTGGTAATATATAACTTTGAAATCGAATGTGGTAATTCTAATAAGTATATAAACAATGTTTAGTGTTTTACAAATAATTGTTAAAATAAATGATGGTCAATTATTAATCGTTTGCTCATGGTTTTATCTACTTACTGAATTTATATAATTATATAATAATGAATTTATATATTTTTATAATAAATACTATTTTATTGTTTATACGAATAAATATATTTCTCTAATATGGTATAAATTTGGAACGTATTATAGAGATGAAATGTAGATATCTAATGTGAGAGTTTTCACTCTGAAATGAACTAGAAACATTTGTTGTTACTGTTAGTGAGATCCGATTAATATGCCAAACAGATTACGAACTGTAAAGTACCCTTTGAAAGAAAATGTTTGAGTATTGATTTTGCTTCTCGGTTTAGTAATAAAGTTAATATTTTGGAGGAAGGAAATTATTTTTTACTATGAAAATGCTTAAAATGAAAAATGATTTTATTCTAGGACTACTAAGAATAATAAAAGAGTTACAAATTTATGGGTCTTAATGTGGCTTAGAATTATAAAAAATACAAACTAATTAACCGTTGATTGTTATTTCAATTGTGCAGTAGATTGAAATTACTCAGTATACGGATGCAAGTACTTTTACATGTTTGCGGAAGTTTGAATGTGGAGTAGGGGGTAGAACAGGAGTTGTTTGAAGGAATTTGTGGACAAGGATTGAAGTATGAAGGTAGGAAGAGAGTTCCAAAAGAAGGTAGCACGAATGACGAAGGATTTGCTGAAGGGAGTAGTTTTAATGGAGGGAATAAATAAATCTATAGGTTGAGACCTGATATTAAGAGAGTTGATATAGGAACGTAGAATATAGAGTTCCATGATGTAGGGAGGGTTTTTGCTTCTGAGGACTTGGAAAAGGAAAACACCAAGGAAGAACTGTCATCGGAAAGTAGAATAAAGCCATTTCAACTCTGTGTACCAGAATGAAACATGTGATCGCTTGGGTATTTCGAAGATGTATCCTATAAAACAGTTCATGAGTTTCTTCAGTCTCATTTCTAGCCTCGCAGATAGCCCTCCATACACCAAATAGCCATAGTCACCCGTGGGGGAATATTAGAGAGGTTACCAGGAGATGTCTGGTTTTTAGAGGAATATAATCACGGAATCTTTGAGTTGTTTAAGGGCAGTTATAGATTTTCGGGTAATCTGGGAGAAATGGTTATTCCAGGAGAGGCTCTGTTCAAAAGTTACTCCTGTTTTTTTTTTACTATAGGGAAAAAATGGATGGAACGGTTATGAGGTAAAGTAGAGGAAAGTTAGGCAGGGAGCTGATGAGATGTCTGGGCCCGATGAGAATAGCCTTGGTTTTATCTTCATTCAGCTTTAATTCATTTATTCCTGCCCATCTGTGGATGCAGTCGATATCTTCTTGTAGCTTTTGGGTAGTCTCAGGCATCTCAGAAATTAAAAATTATGGGCATATAGGTGGTAACAGGAATGTTGAATGGCGTCACTAATATAAATAGAGAAAAGGGTTAGGGAGAGTGAGGATCCCCGAAGAACATCTCGTGTTAGTTGAAGGGGTGATAATGGAGGTTTGTTCGGAATCGCAACAGTCTAAGATCGATTAGATAAGAAGGAGAGGATTCATCTTAGGACGCTATTTGATATGGGCAGGCATTGAAGTTTAGAAAGGAGGATTTCATGATTGACTGAATCAAACGCTTCGAAAAGTTAAAAAGGATTAGGATAGAAATTTTCTGTTTATCTTTGGCGGATCGGAGGTCTTGTGTAATCCTTAGCAAGGCAGACTGGGTGGAATAACGGGAACAGAAACCAGATTGTAAAGGATTGAGGTGATGGTTTTTCTCAAGAATGCTGTTCATCTGAGAGTGGACTAATCTTTCTAGAGACTTGGGTAGATTGGATAAAATGGAGATGGGTCTGAAGCCTGAAGCTGATCAATAATGTAGTTACAACAATTAAATATGCTTTATTTACATCATCATCATCATCGTAATCCTATTCCTCTTTACCGCCTATGCAGTGTGAGGTTGCTGCTTGTAGAGCTTGGACCAGGTGGACCTTTCCAGTACCAGCTCTCGTCTCCTGTTCCATTCCAAACCTCGCTTCTGAAATGCATCTCGCACGCCTTCTTCCCAGGAGATTCTGGGTCTTCTTCTTGGTCTCCTACCCTGCACGCGAGTCTCATATGTCTACCTTGCGACTCTGTTCCGGTCCATACGGAGTAGGTGCCCAAACCATCTCAACTTGTGTTCATCTATTACGGTTTCGACCGCTTTGGCGTATTGCGAATTCTGTCTCGTCTAGTCTTTTCCTCCACCTTTCGCAGGTATCGCATCTCTAAAGACTGGATCTGGCTCCTGTGTTTCGAAGGAAGTGTCCAGGAATCGGAGGAATACGTCAGTATAGGAAGGAATACTGATCTGTAGATCGTCATCTTCGTTTCCTTTGTCACCTCTTTTCGGTTCAGAAAGCCTTTCCTAACTGAGCCGAACATTCTTCCAGCAGCTCCTATTCTCTGCCTTACCACCTCGTCAATATATCCATTTTCGTTGAGTTGAGCACCCAAGTATTTGAAACTTTCTTATTTACCTCATATAACCTAAATAATTCATAACAGCAAAAATCTTTAGGGGTGAATATCTACTAAACAAAGCGTTTGCGGACATACCTTCAGAGGAAATTTTTTTCTTGGTTTGAGGTCCTTAGTTTATTTTTAAAGTATGGCCACTAAACAATGAAACACCCTGTATATAAATGACCTCCCGTCCTCTAGCCTGCACTGTCAATATCGCCTGTATGCCTATTACGTCCAAGTTTACCTCTCCTTCAATCCTTTCGATTCCTCAGATGCCATCCTAAAACTCCGAGAAGATATTAATAGAATAAGTACTTGGGCAAACCTCAACAGTCTCAACACCGAGAAGAGGATAGCCATCTTTATCAGATCCCCCTCATTCTCAAATCCTTCGCTGTATCCCCCAATCTTATCCTGAAAAACTCACCTATCTTATTCCATATTTTCGTTAAATACTTAGGTGTTACTTTTGATCAAACACTTTCCTGTAAACCACACATCTCCCAAATTTTCCATCTCACTATCTCCACCCTAAAACATTTCAATCGTCTGTGCTATCTCGTTCCGTATAAGTCCCTGGTTTCCTCTCTTGTTTTCCCCCATTCTGATTATGGCTGTATGGTGTACTGTGGACTCTCGGGAGATTTCGAAGTTGAACTTAAACGCCTTATGAATCGCGCAATAAGTTTTGTTTTCGAAATCTCAAAAGATACGCATATTACCCAGTATTACATCGATTTGAAGTGGCTCTACTCATCCTATCGCCGGCAGTACTTCCTCTGTGTAACAGGTCATTAGAACTCATTGACCCTCCTATATTTTTCACAGCTCACAATTAAAATACTCCGCCCACTCCCGTCCCATTAGATCTCGTACTTCCGACCTCTATCCTCTTCCTCACTGAACTGCTGCATTTGACAAATTATTTGCAATTCAAACCGTCTCAGTCTGCAATTCCATCCCTCCTGATATTCTATATGCACAATCAGTTTCCTCGTTCGAACCTCTCTTCTTTAAATATCTACTCCTTTCTCAATCCGACAGACTACCAAGTATATCTAAGAGAACTATTTAAGTACTTCCAGAGACTATTTCTATTTATTAATGCTATTTTAGTTTCCTTTGTTTTTTACTTTTTTTTTCTTTTTCTTTCTCTTTCTTCTGTATTTTTACTTTTAATTAACTATTATTGAAAATATTTGATTTATTTATGACCAGAAAGACTTGCATTCTGTACTTATAAGTTGTTCTAAAGGGACAATAGTCTCAGAATAATAAAATATATTTTCATTTCAAAAGAGTAGTTACACCAAGGTAATGGTTGAATTTAAATTAAAAGTTGTAGCATCCATATGGATATAACTAAAATAAATGAAGGTATATCATATGTTTTAGATTATATGGAAGATGTTTGTCCTTACGCGACCTTTCAACTAAGTAAGCCACCATATACAGAAAGCACGTTCAGTGGAAATATATACAGTGGCCCTTATCATTCCGTGAGAGGATCATTTGTTTACCATGATTTACCCTCAGGAACAGAAACCTACAAGTGTCGTCATGTAAGGCAACTTATATGTATAAAATACTTGGTATTCCATATTTAAAACTACAATTTTCTTAGGTTTATGTTTATTATAGCTTAAAGAACCCGAGTATACAAAAGTTAGAAGAAAAGGAGTGAGATTACGAGATTCTCTTCTAGAGAGCCAAGGTGAATATGATAATTTTTTAAATCATTTTTGTTTTATCCGATACTTTTCCTCCGATATATATATATATATATATATATATATATATATATATATATGTATATATATATATATATATGTATATATATATATATATATATATATATATATATATATATATATATATATATATATATATATATATAGAGAGAGAGAGAGAGAGAGAGAGAGAGAGATTTGATGTTGATGTAATTTTTTATTTATATATGTTAAGGTTAGTAGTATAAGTGTTAGTAGTATAAAATAAGAAATGGAATATGACAAAAGAGGAAAATAAAATGGAAGAGTTTATGGGTGATACTATATAGTCAAGGACCGGAAATAATATAACGAAATTAAATAAATAAATCAAATTAAATTAAAAGTACAAGGGGTGGGTGGAGGAGAGAGTAATTGCAAGAACATTGAATCTTCACAGCACACTCGACCGGTCTTTAGTCAGAAATCGCTTGAGGCAAGCCTTGCGGAAAAAGGGCGTTAACCTTACCTCTACCGGAAACATGTTGAGCTCTCTAGCCGCTACTGCGTGGAAAGAGTTCCTCGGAATTTCTGTTCTACAGTCTGGCAGCCGGAATGTTCCCTGTAATTCTTCACTGTGTACTTCTAGTAAACCTTTCCTTAGATCTGCAGGTTCGCAAGAGTCCAGAATTTTTATCGCATGGCACATCAAATTGAGTCTCCGATACTCCTTGCTTCTCAACCAGCCTAGTGTATTTATATAAAGAGTGATGTAGTCTTCGCTTTTTATACTAAATGTAAAACGGACAGCGGCATTAAATACTCTCTGAACTCTGGCATCTTCCGATTCCGATATGTCGATGTACACAATACCATACCAGGGGAAGTATTAGCGTGGAGACTATTTTCTTTTTGACCTTAGTGGAAGGGTATGCATAACTAGGTATAGCCGGCTCATTACGAGGCATGATCACGCCATGGCATTGAGTCACCGATCATCACTCCAAGTATTCTTATTTTTCTAGATCGGAATATCACACTATCAATGATCGTCAACGGTGGCAAAGACACATTCTTCTCAGCTTTTACAACCAGTTTAGGGCTCCCTATCAACATTCAAATTCCAGTTCCATCGACATTCCAATTCCAGTTGATGCCGGTGTTCCTCAAGGTTGCGTCTTGGACCCCGTCCTTTTTATCCTTTTTACCGCTGATATCCATGTCCATCCCGATACCTTCCTGGCAAAATTTGCTAACGACACCGCTATCCTATCCTTCAACTCAGATCCCAAAATAGCATCTTTAAATCTGCAAAGACACGTCTCCCTGATTGAACACTGGTGTAGTAAATGGAGCATCAAAGTATACGAGTCCAAGTGCAAACACATTACCTTCACAGTCCGGCGCAGATCCTGTCCATCAGTCCACTTTAATTCCATCCAGCTTCCTTTATCAGACACAGTCCGGTATCTTGGCTTTCTCTTAGACCGAAGACTAACGTGGAACCCAGATACTAGACTTAAAAGTCAAGAACTTAATCGAAGATACGGCCAATTATACAGACTACTGAATAGAAAATCTCAACTTTCAATTAACAACAAATTACTGATCTACAAGACAAATCTGAAACCTATTTGGACCTACGGACTTGAACTTTGGGGGACAGCAAAATTTTCTAACATCAGACTCTTCCAATCCTTTTAGTCCAAAGTCCTCCGAACAATAGTCGATGCTCCGTTCTATGTAAACAACAAAACCCTCCACCAAGATCTTAATATCCAATTTGTCCTCGTCCTTATCCCTGAAAATGTTTTCAAATTCCATCAGAATCTTATAAATCATCCAAATCCCTTTGTACAATCCCTATCTAGTTCCACTCATCCCTAAAATCCTCCTCGAAGGTTGAAGCGGAAGTGGCCCAGAGATTTTTTGTAATGTGGAGTGTACGTGGCTAAAGCGCTCTCTCTCAAACTCCACTAGCTTTAGCAGCAGTGACGCCGTTGAAAGAGTAGCGCAGGGATCTCTTGGAGTCCTGCTTTTCCTTTTATAGTTGGAGGGAAAAGAGTGGCTTGGGGTTCCCTTCCTGATTGTATATATTGTATATAGGTATGACTGTGTTTTTATGTTTTTAATTTACTTATCTTTAGGTTGTTTTTTTTTTTATTGTACTTAGTTTTTGATTATTATTTAGTTATTATTTTACTTTTGTTAATTTTATATCATCTGTATACTTTGTGTGAATGTGCTCATATATCGCTATAATTATTGTTCACGTGACAGATTGTTATATTTCTAAATAAATTTTTAAAAAAAGTTCTGTGCAATTTTCTTATAAATGTATACTATGTTATTAAAAAAAAAAATTAACTAAAGTTTTCAAGCTTCTTAATTAAGGTCGATAAAATAAGCTTTTTACGAATTTTAGGATTGCGTTATTTTTGAAAATATCTACCACGCATCCTGTTGCATGAATAAAAATGCATGAGAAATGAAGAAAATTTTGTTAGAGAAATAAGTTTTCGCCAACTGTGCTCAATATATACACTAAAAGATCAAAATATCATTCACTTGACATCTTGCAAGCTAACGCTTTTTTTTATTACTTATGCTTACTATTTCCCAGAAACATGATAATTAGTATTTGTTTTATTTTAAAATTTGTTAATATGCAGACATAAAAATAAAAATCACTATAATTTACGGCATTATTTTGATTTCAGAGTCTGATAATTTGGGAAGTACAGATTCTGAAGTTAAAAAAATATTAACACTTCATCTTCCAATATCCGAGTATGATACTCATGGTAGTGATAGTGAGGAAGGAGGACTAAGAGGTCCTTCAAATCAAGATCTTGTTACATTTCGTCATTCTATGTCAAGAGGTACGTATGCACAAATGAATTATATTTTATTTATATATACATACATATATATATATATATATATATATATATATATATATATATATATATATATATATATATATATTTTCGGTTGGCTCTACAGACCATATATATATATTTTCGGTTGGCTCTACAGACCATATATATATATTTAAAAAAAAACAACATAACATATTTATTACTGATGTGCACAAAGCGTTGCTCCTTGGCGAAATTTATGCATATTATTTAATATTTAGTTTCTAGAACTTAGTTTTGGTTAACCTTATTAGAATGTTCTGTCAATTCTCAAATCTACTACCTAGAATTACATCATACATTTTATAAATTTTGACAAAATACAGTGTCATTTTAAAATTATGAATGAAAACACATTTAAAATATTTATTTACAATCATTACATAAAGTAAAAATCATACTAAATCATATCTTATTTTATATAAATAAATATTCGGAAACATGATTAATGAATAACGTTAAGAAACAGCTGGCAAACCTCTCAACAGCTTAACTTCCTACAGTCCCTTTAGCCTACTTCCAATCCTTGAAAAGATCTTTCTGAAAAGAATCCTACCCCTTATAGAATCTCAAAATCTTCCTTCATACTAGTTCTTATTCCATTCCCAACACTCCACAGTCCAAAAAGGACTTCGGGTGGTCGATCATATTTCCGAAGCTCTGGAAAGCAAGCAATATTGCTCGGATGCACTTCTGGACATAGCTCAAGCGTTTGACCGGTTATGGCACGCCGGACTTCTTTTCAAACTTAAAACCCATCTTTCTCAGTCGTTATACCTTGTCCTAAGTTCCTACCTCTCAGATTGTACCTTCCGAGCTCTCTGCGGCACTGGATTTTCAAAGTGCTATCCAATTGAGGCAGGTGTTCCTCGAGGTAGCGTATTGGGCCCCGTCCTTCACATCCTCTTTACCGCTGATATTCCTGTTCATCTCGATACCTTCCTGACAACTTTTGGTGATGACACCGCCATTCTATCATCAGATATAGTCCGGTACCTTGGCTTTCTCTTCGACAGACCACTAACGTGGAACCTCATACTAGACTTAAAAGACAAGAACTTAACCGACGATACAGCCAACTATATATACTGCTAAATAGAAAATCTAAACTCTCTATTGAAAATAAAATACTGATCTACAAGACAATACTGAAACCTACTTGGACTTTCGGACTTGAACTGTGGGGAACAGCAAAATTTTCTAACACCAAGCGCATCCAATAGCCTCCAAAGTACTTCGAACAATGCTCCTTTCTATGTAACCAACAAAACCATACACCATGACCTTAATATCTCATTTGACCTAGACCTTATCCCAGCAAAATTCTCCGAATTTCACCAAAACCTTACTCATCATCCAAATCCCTTTGCACAATCTCTATCCAGCACCACCCATCCCCATAATCCACCAAGAAGGTTAAAACGGCAGTGGCCCCGCGACCTTTTATAGTTTGTAAATATTGGAGTTCTGGCAATGGCCAGATTCTCCACTCACGACATGAGTGTATGTGGCTACATCACTCTTGCTCAATCTCCACTGGGCTTAGAACCAGTGACGCGGTCGAGAGAGAAGTGCAGGAATCATCTGGAGTCATGCTTTCCCCTCCACAGTTCGAGGGACAAGTCTGGTTTGGAGTTCTCTCGGCAGATTGTAATTATTTTATACAAAACCTATACCTTCTATACACTAATTTTTTCACAATTATCATTATTTTATCGAGTATTATCGTCATAAATATAAATAATAATAATAATATTCTGCATTAATAACCTGAAATAATCATCTTTCTTTCATACTGGTCGATGAATTCAGTTGTTTATTTCTTGAATTCAGTGATAAGATATTTTCGCAATCCTAATGTAACTTTTTAATTATCTTGCTTATGACAACATTTTATTAACCAATGCCTTTGGATCAGTTTTAAATTTCAGAAAATTTTCTATTACTTAATTTATTAAATATTTTGAAAATACTGAGATCAAAATAGCGATTATTAAATGCTTTTTTCTTCATCCGCTCATGATTATAAAAACGAGAATAAATTAATACGAAATGACTGTATCAAACATGAAAAATAGTAATGCAACAGCACTTCTTTTCAGAAATTCTTCTGAACCAGTGTTACCATCTTTATAGTTACATTTCTTTATAATTTACAAATTATTTAAAGTAATTTTCCGCAACAGATATTAATGACTCTGTGTCCTGTTCGTCAACTGCCCATCACCAGAGACGATATGAATACACTTGCGCGTTACTTATGTAAAATATTCCATCATAAAAAATGGTTTGACGTAGTCAGAGGGTATTACAGAAAATATAAGTATCACTTATTAATAGGTTCACAATAATACATCATTTTCCAGTTAATTTTTACAATGTTATTTTTAAATTGAATAAATGGCCTCTGAGACCAACGAGGTACTCAGAACCTTTATCCAATTTTCCTGATGCTAAGTCTGGTCTTAAAAGACTATTTCTTGATCTATTCATCAAATGATTATGATAATTATTTTTAATGATGGCTGTTATAATTGTCAATTATTCACTATATGAAAAAATGTTTGTTTGTTTCAATAGACGTCATTAATGTCACAGAGGAATCAAGTTCATCTTCAGAAAGATCTCCTACTGGTCTGAGAAAACAATGTCACCACAACCGAAAATTAAAAAGTAAGATGCAAAACAGTATGAAAAAATTGGTAAAAACTGATAGCATGTATGGAACCAGTAAAAAAGAAACTTCTTTCACGTAAGTAAAACTCAAACAATTAAAACAACAAATTCAGATTTATTTTTTTTATAAATATCTAAAATTGAATAAATTTATATTTTTTCTTAGCTGATTATTTGATAATTGTAATGTTGTATTATAGTTTGGTACATGTTAATATTTGTTGTGGAAATCGTTTGTCCATCCAGCGCTTGGCTCCTGCGCACATGTCGTTCTTAGAGATGGTAGGGTGGGAGCCTATCCAACCGACTTACTCTGGACCTTACATGGAATTAATCAGAGACATTAAAATGTACAAGATAAATCTTCCGGATCATTCCACGATCAACTTGTCAATTGATCGTCTTGATTCAGCGTTCCAGCTTAATGACTGTGCTGACCCTCCTCTGCAGCCGCCTGGCGTAGCTCCATGAGCATTACCTGTACTACCAACTCAGCAACCAGTAGCAACAACTGCGGATCCACTATACCGCCCGTAGTCCGCCCGCAAGTCAAGTTTCTGGAGGTTCCATTGGGTGGTGGGAGGGGGGAGTAATGTTTGGGTTCTGTCCAATGACAAACGTCCTAAAACAACTTAGCTTATACCATGTGCAAGATGGTGCAACCTCTTTGGAACGAGAGATCGATTCAATGTATGTTGTTTTGTGCTAGCACATTTTTAGTAAGCTACATAGTTTTTTTTTGGTTAACTATATAATGAATAGTACTAATTATTAGTGGCTTGCATGCATAGTGTAGTGAGCTCCCACAAATTATATTAATTTAATTTCAGTAATTTTTATTTAGTTTTTTTGTAATTATTCATTTTTCAGTAGTGTACAAATTTTAGTTTATTTTTAGTTGTTTTCTTCCTTTCATTTTTTTGCTATATAATTGCGTATTTATGTATTCAGAGGTATATTTCATTTTCTATTTTTTTTTTTTACAAAAGTGTTTTTATTTAATAAAGATTTATTTTTTGTATATATATATATATACAAAAGGTTTTCCAATCCATTCACTATAAATTAAAATAAATAACACAGAAAAATAATAATCCAGAAATATATATATATATATATATATATATATATATATATATATATATATATATATATATATATATATATATATAAACTAAAAGAAACAAAAAGAAACTAAGGTAATGAAAATAACTACCCCCACATGCTTCTATACAATATCTAAAAAAAATCATTCACTCAAGACCTCCGAGCCAAGCCTTTATCCTCACTCGTGAAAGGAAAGGTAGGACTCTAAAAGATTCCAGCGGCTCTCACTCAGCTGTATTCCTGGTATTATGGACCATTAGAGGCTGATCAGAGGCTCTATAATCACACATACATGGCTCGAGTGGAGAATCAGGCCGTTGCTAAAACTCCAATGTATACTTATTCACAGAAGGTCACTGGTAATCAATTATAATAACAAAACAATGTTTTATTATTATATTATTGGGTACACCAGCCCAACAAAAACAAACCCCCTCACCGAATTTTATGAAATTAAATTTGGATCCCTCGCCCCCCCCCATAATACAAAATCCATCTCAAAAAAGATTCTTAAATTTTAACTATACATCCGTCATCGACGGGTACATCAGCTAGTCATAAATCAATCAATCTTATGTATGTTCTTTATTTCAGATTTAATGAAAGGATTAAGCCACCCACCCGCTTCTTAGATGGTACCCATGGAGAATGTGAAAATCCTGGATCTAGAAGAGGGTCACGGTCAGTGCAATATAGACTGTCACGGGAATCTTCTTTTCAAATAGATGTATAATGTGCCTTGTGACGCCTATCTACACTTTGTACATATAAATTAATATTTATAAATGTTTCAAATATTAAACATTTATAAGAAAATGTAATGTTTATTTTGAAAAACCCTTGATTGTTTTCCTTAATCCGTATATTGATTTAAATGCAAATAATAAGAAAGAAAGTAAGTAAATTTTATTCTGGGAAATTTAGTCCCCTCAGAATAACTATAATGAACACGAAATGACAAGTGTCTGGCGATTATGAATAATTAAATATAATTAAAAATAAATTAATTTACATAGTTGTCTACCTTAATATTAAAATAGAGAAAATACACTGTAGTAAATAATGATCTTACAGTAGATATACGAATTTAAAGATGAATACATAACGGTGTGTTCACGTATTTGTACAAATAAGCACTATGGCACTTACATAGCAATAATTGAATGTTAATAAAAATTATAGATTTGAATATTGCTTGATTTTTAAATGATATACATATAAGATTAAAAATAATTAAATAGTTTCGGGAACAAAATCAAAGTTTTTATTTTTGATGATTTCGTCATTGCAGCGTTATAACGGAACGCCACTAGTTAGCGTCATCTATATGTTAGAAACTTCTTTATATAGAAGAAGAAAAATAAATTTTATGCTGGAACTAAACTTCCTTAGAATAACTACAATAACTACAAACTACAACAAGGGAAAACCCCAAAATAACATTAAGTCACACCTTAATCCTCTCAGGGTTGAATAGGAATTCAATCCATCAGCTGCACCACATTTAGGAGGAATATGGGAAGACGGGGTAAAATCAGTAATAATATATTTTCAGAACCTAACACACCTTCAAATAACGTAACATGATCAAAAAATAATATTGTGAGGAGAAACTTTTTCCTCTTTGTTTTCCTCCTTAGTGCCTTTCAGCGTGGAGGGTCCTCCACCCATTTACGCCAGTCATCGCGGTCCTTTGTCAGGTGTCTCATATGACCCAACTGTTCGCCTCTTTTCTGTCCGAGCTTGGTAACTTCGTCAATCCAATTTTTCCGTGGACGTCCTCTTGGCCTCTTTTCTGTGGGTCTTGCCTCAAAAAAAATTCTGGTTTCCCTGTCCTCGCCCATCCTCATAACGTGGCAGAACCATTTGATCGTTTTCTTTTCCACGGTTTCCAGCATTGGTGGCACCTTAATATTTTCTCTAATTCGTTCGTTTCGGATGCAATCTCTTCTAGTTCGGCCTACTACTCTTCTCAGATATTTCATTTCCGCAGCGGTAAGTCTACTTTTGTGCCTATCTAGAAGGACCAGCTCTCACTACCGTACAGTAGAGTTGGAAGGTAGAGTGTATTGTATATATGGATCTTAGTTATATTTTCCACCTCTCGTTTTCCTAAGACCGTGTTGCAGATCTGGTAATAGATGCCATTTGCTTTTTTGATCCTGTTTGATATCTCTTGGTCTATTTTTCCATTTCTACCAACAACTGTCCCTAGGTATGTATATTCCTCTACCAACTCCAGATTCTTACCCTACAGTTTATTTGTATGTCTTCGATTTCTCGACCTATCTGCATAATCTTACTTTTTTCTTCATTTATGATCATACCTTTTCTCTCAAGCTCAGCTTCCCTATTCCACAATCGCTTGCTGTAATTTTGCGGATGAGTCTGTTATGAGGACAATATCATCTGCGTAAACGAGAGCTTGGGCTAGAATTGTTCTCATATTCCATTTTCCTATAATTGTTCTTCCAGTCCTACGTTTACAGATTTTCAGAATCTCATCCATGAACATAATATATAGTGAGGGGCTGAGACTGTCGCCTTGTTTCATTTCTTCTTCGAACATATACTTCCTAGGTTGCATCACTTTTGTTTTTATTGTATTCTTTCCATGCCTGTTTCTTCCTTTGAACTGGTGCTGTTTAGGGAACATTTACAATTATGGCAAAATAACTCGCATGATTTTCAATAAGGCAACATTCTAAATTTTATGGTAACATTCTAGTTTTTAAGCAATGGACTGTATCTCAAGGGATTGGTAGGTTAATGATTGTGCAAAAAAATCTCTTACCGTTTATGTGCTAGCCTACATATTTTTTACCTTGGAGGACCCTCCGCCGTCTGTCCAGTCTCTCATTCATCATTCGTTTTTGGAGAATGTGGTTTCGCATTATTTTTGTGGCAAGTAACACATTTATAAAAAGGGCTTCTAACGAGTCTTCTTAGAGAAGGGATCCAAAATTGGTGATGGATGAGAGACTGGACCAACAGGGGGCACCATGCAAGGAATACCTGTGGTAATGATTACACAGAAGGACTGCTAAATGAGAATCTTTAGGTATCAGCAGCAGGTGCTTTGTTTTTTCTTCGATTGTGGAATACTTCAATCTACCTCCCACCCTGAGAGCTCCGTCCTTATCTAAAAATGGTATGAACCTGTTTAAGGAACCCTTAAGGAAGGAGCTTCAAGACTATCAATTGATTTAGAGAAGGATTTCCTCTGAATGAGTCTGACATAAATCTTCAAGAAATCAAGGTTAATTATTTATGATGCAATAAGGTTGTATTTATTTATTTATTTTTATACTCTTTTTTTTTTTATATAGATTGGAAACAATTCTGTATAACTTTTTACATAGAATTGTGATAAAGAAAAAGAAAAATCTTTTATTTTCAATTTAAAAGATTCTATGTCTTTGATATGTATTTTAATTTTACATTCCTCATTATGTATATGTATATATATATATATATTTACATACATATATATAATTCCCTCGTTATCTACATTTTTTTCTATATATATAGTTTACAATACTATTTAATTGTTTATATTACCATTGTGAATATTCATTTAAAGCTCTTAAGTAACAGATATAAATTTTATTTCCTTTGCTTACTTTTCTTTATTTTTTTTTTTTTTTTGTAGCTACAATGGTTTTCTCATAAAATTAATTTAATGTTTCTTTTCTATTTTATTTATTTGCTTATTTTTATTTTATTTTTCTTAGACAGCAATATTGTGATCCTATTGCTCACCTGCTTTCATTGATATATCTTTAAGCTATGTATATACCTATTTTATTACTGATGTTTCATTTATTCTTTTATGTATTAGATATTTTGGACATTTGGATGTAATGCAAATTTGTATGAACAATAATGTTATTCTTAACGAACATTGCCCCAAAATAAAGTTCGATTGATTGATTGAAATCTTGATTATCTACATTTTAAACTAAGAGTTCTCCTCAGAGTCGGCACAAGTGGGTATTTTACATATCTCTCGATTAAAATACTTAATATACGCATCAGTAGAAATATTATTTATTTATGTTTGAGGAAATAGGAGGGTAGGTATGTTTTTATTGAATACAGCTCAATGTTTCAAGTTGAAAATTAATTACAGTAATATCAGAAAATTAAAACTGTTTGATGAAATTTAAAATAATTAACAGTATAAATTACAAAATCAACTATGCCAATATGATAAATTAGATTTTAACTACCATATACATTATTTTTTCTAATTTTGTAAGGAGTTAAGGCGATATCTAGTTCATTATAACCAGTTACTTTAAGTTAAAATATTCTTCAACTCTTACATTAGGAATCAACATTTCAAAAACATTTTATTACATATTTATTTATTTTTGGATATTTTAAAATTATGTTTTTGCCTTTGTAGATTGAGTGATACAAATCCTTTAGTTCATAAATAATTAAATAATACGTACTTACTAACACAAATGTTAAGACAACACCATTATAATTTATACATGTAAGTTTATAAATAAAGTTTAAGTAGTGTTTTATTAAATTATGAGAAGTATCATTTATATGTATTAGGCTAGCAAAATACATGAAATTTAACAAATATAAGCGTTAATAGATATTAATTTCATTATTTATATAGTGTGAAAAAACTAAACCAATGCATTCCTGTATATTAACTCTACTCAGTCACGTATTTTTAACAAATAACTACAGCAAATTCTTTATGAATGCACAAACATACTCACACACCTGTTTGTGCTCTCCTGTGTGTAATGAAATAAAACTATTGTTTTAAATACAACTGAAGTCAGTTCCTCAATATCACAGCAATGATATTCTAAGCATTATCATCCCTCATTCCTCACTTAATAATTTTATCTTTTAATATGGATTAAATTTAAACATTTACTCTATTATTCATAGCTTTTGTTTATTTTTATTATTATTTCTTTAGTTTCTAAAAACATCAACGATGCTTTAACATACAAATTTTAACTTAATATGCTAAATATCAACTTACATTTTACGTAATTTTTCAAAGCTTACATTTTTTTCTATATCTAAAATGGATGCTCATAATGATTTCTCATTAAAATTCAGTAATATAACAGTAAATTCGTTTAACATAATTGTTTTCCCTAAAACTCATCATCCAATGTTCAATTATCATTATAGGCAAAGAAATGTTCACATCAATTAATATAAAAATAATAACAAATGTTTTCTCAAATCAATGAAACAAAAAAGTTAGTTGTCTAAAGTATAATACTTTAACAGTAACACATAAATTGAATAATCCCCAGATAGCCAAACTGTTCTTCATAGCAGTTATACATATTCATTAAATGCTAAAAAATAAACATTCATTAAATAACTAACACATAATCATGCTACTAAATTATCAGTTGCTATGGAGCAAATTAAAATCATTAGGAAAATAATTTAAAAAAATATATTACCTTTCAACATTTAATATCTAAATATTTGTATTTAATGCATAACAATACAATTAATATAAATAATTTTTTGAAGCATAGAATATTTTTTATGATAATTTTCAATAAATTCTAAGCGGCAACTTTTTTAATATTTTAGGATTACACACTGACAATTAGTGCAACTATGTTAGACTTATAATAGGATTTGTGTTATTTCGATGCACTTAATGAGTTTTTGAATTGATAACTATCATTGAGTTATCATTGATAACTATTTGTAAATAGAAATTTACAAATACCTACATATATGTGGCCACTGACTATCACTCCAAATGAAAGAATGTAGAGGAGCCACTGCAGTGCTTGGAGTGAAGGCAATTTCAATAGCACCACCAGCTATCACTCCATTCCATCCTTACATTGTTTACTGACAACTAGTGATTCACACTCATGTATGCCATTTTCGAAAAAATTCCGAACTTGTGATTACTATGATACCAGCAAATAACAATAAACATTACATACCAGTTATATGCAAAAATTATATTACTATAATAAAGACAGAAGGGTGAAAACAATAACACTACAATACCAATGCAAGTACCAATAATATTTTAGAATTTTTAAGTTTTATATTTAAAATTACTTTTAATTATTTCAAACAACACTAATTTCATGCTGTACCTATTAAGATTGAAATGTAATACACGATTGTACAATGAACAAAATTTGAATAAATACATTTTCATTTAACATTTTAGATTTCCTTCAATCACAATAAATATTTAAAACTTTTTTTTAAAATGTATTTAATACATTACGTAAGAACACTTTTTTGTTTAAAAAAAAAAGTTCTAACTGTTTATGATAACAAATGTTAAAAAGTAAAACTTCCAATTCGAATCAGATAAATCTCAACTTTTTCAATCTGGTAATTTGCAAAAGCAAAAATCGTTTAATTTATAATAAAATTAATTAGTAGTTTATTAGTGTTGTTGTAATCGTTTGTTATTTTTTTTAAACACATAGTTATTGATTGTTTGACAAATTATACACTAACAAAAGTAAGGACGAACTACTATTTTTTGGATTTAGAATGAAATTTACAAACAGCAGTGATCATTTGGATCTCTTCTTCAAGATAACCGGGGAGCACGTGGTTTACTAACCGGACGTGATCACAATTCAGGCACTTTCTGGAAAGATGGTTGGCAATCTTATGCAGCAATGCCCACCCCAGTTATTGATGGGATATTGCATTATCAGCCCTATACCCAAACCCAAACCTGGAGGACCAGCAGCTATAGTGTAAGACAGGGATAGCTCACCTCCCTGTGAATATCTGGGTGGGGATGTTTCCGTCCCTTTATTATATAATGGTAATGGGATGTTTATCACATGGTCTCAGCAATCGAGTAGAGCTTGTGCTTTGAAAAAAAGCAGATAATTCCAATATTAGAACAATTTTTACAGATACACTCAAATTTCTAGAGTCTAGATAATGGCTTGGGGCATTAAAAATAAAGAGTAAAAACTGAAAAGAATAACAAAGTAATGAAATTTAAACTCTTGGCTTGTAAATTGAAAATAATGCTAATTTAAATATAAATATTCCATCTACAATGCAATCTGCAAGGTTAAATTCGTTTACAATTAAGTAAATAAAAATACTTTTAAATAGAAAGATTTTTAATTTTTATAGAGATTTTTGTGGATCAAAAATTGTTTCACACTACTGTATATTAACAATTTTGATATATATTATTTTAGGAGAAGGAATTGGGGGTGCAGTCAAATAAATACTATATATTAAAATAGTATTTTATTGGATTATTATCCTATTTATAGTATTCTATTATTTTAATATATAGTATTTATTTGACCGCACCCCTGACCAACTTACCTCTCATATCATATTATAATCCCAGTCAACCATCTCAAAACAATTATATTATTTTAGTATGTATGGTGAGTATATTTTACTACACAAATTTACTGACGGCTCCACTCAAACAGCTACGCTAATGTCACAGAAATCGGATTGATGATTGGCATTCCAATGGGTTCCAAGCCATTGTGGCCTACCAGGAAATGAACAAGCTGATGAGCTCGCACAGACTGTCTCTAATTTACCGCAAACCAATCCTTCCCTGCCCTACCTGCTAAAAGGATTTTAAAATCCTTTTACAAGAAATAAACAGGCAGCTGGGAAAAAATGGGATATCTATAGCAGATAAGACAAACGCAAAGCAGGAAAGCCTCAGTAGCGTGTTTCGGCATGATGAGCGGGAATGATTACCTGTAAAGGCATTTGCACATGATCGGAGTCGGAGGCATTTGCCCTGTGCACCTTCTGCGCCGGGAGGATGAGAAGCACCTCTCAGTATGACAGGCAAAGTTACTGGCAGTGGAGGCATAAAATTGGAGAATCTCATCCCAAGTCAAAATATGTACACAAACAAATTAATAATTTATTCAAGCCCATTAAAGCTTAATTAATTTTAGTTAAAGTAGACTTTCAATTTTCAATTTTTTGTTTCAAAATTAAATGATAAACATGTTAAATATTACCTGGTCCGAAATTGGATGTTCTTCAACATCCACCATATTCACCTCTTCCATCTCTCTTGCTCTATATTTTTTTCAGAGGGCTAGGCGTATTTTTAGAAAATAAAGTATTCTAAAATAGAAATAGAGGTCAAACTTTCATTGCTCAAGTTTATTAGTTCAAAGCCAAAAATTTTATTCTGATAAGGATACCAATTTTTCGGAGAACTTTTAAAGAAATTTTATGATGCTTACAGAAGTTATGTTTAATAAAAACAATGTCATTAAAGTTAGTTTTCCTTTTGTTAGACTCTATGCTATAGTACATTCAATTAAAACTTCAACCCCCTGTTTATACATTTATATGAGTATGTATTTATGTATTTTAGCAATAATTAATTTTTTATGTTTACTATTTTTGGGTTGTTAGTTTTTTTGGATATATATATATATATTTTTTTTGGGCATTCATTTAATCTACAGATGTTGATAGTCATTTTTCAGGTTCTTAATTATAATAGTATAATAGTATAACCCAGGGGTCTCCAAACTTTTTGGCCAGTGGTCACATAAAGTCCCGCAGGCCATAGCTTGTGATGAAATAAAAAAAAAAATTGTCACATATATGACACTTTAGCTGCGAAATATACTTTCTATAAAAAACTATTCAGTGCCGGCCTTATAGTAGGGCGCCAGTCGATCTTCAGAGATGCTTGCCACTTGTTAAAAATACAAAACATATTAAAATAGTTAATGTTAGCATATCAATAAAGGAATTGTATTAGAGAAATGTTGGATAAAATAAAATTTAAATATTACATAATACAAAACAGCTTGAGAAATAATTTTTTTTAGTGAGGATATGACATCATTACCCAGGGTCGCCGAATGTCTAAGGCCGGCACTGAAACTATTCATAAAATAAAAATAAGGTGCTTGCGGCTCGGATCCGGCCGGCGGGCCGTCGTTTGGAGGCCCTGGCTTAATCCATGAAATGTGAAAAATCAACAGAGCTAAAATAGAAAATGAAGACATCTTGAAGCAATGTGGAATTTTAAAAATTTACTAGTATAACTATAGACAATTTCCTGTGAATCACATTAAATTATATGATTTTTAATTAAAATATGTTTATAACTAGTACTAGTGCAAAACCATTCCCATTTATTCCTACCTACGAAATCATTATGAGCATTTCTTGAAAATATTTATACCTGACCCTGACTTTCCTCATTTTCTTGGTTTGTTTTCCCCCAGAATTGATCAAAACGGGAATGGGCTTTTTCTATAACATCTGATAAAGGTTTAGGGTCATGAGAAGTAGATTCAAAAGTAAAGGATGGATCATCAAGACATCTTAAAGTTGTACCAGGAACTGGTTTTTCATACGTTTTTTTCGGTTCACTTTCATCTTTTTTCCAATCTAAAAATATAAACAAATTAAAAACATTGTATTATGATCAAACCAAAGCCAACTAATATTGTAATTTAGGTAATTTTGCTAATAATTGTTAAATATATTAATGATAGATAAGAACAATTAAATACAAATTTTAAAGAATAATCTAAAAAAAAAACTTTAGTTTTGAAGCAGTTAAATGCTAAATGATACACAAATCTTTCTGAAGAATACATATACTTATACGAATATTTTACCAAGCTTTCTCAAGATAAAACTTTATTTACTGTTTCTTCTGTTCATTTATCCTAATTTTGGTGTCTTGAGGTTTTATTTTATACATAAATTAGGCCAATTATCACCAACATTTTATTGATGCGCTATTAAATTCGACGTTTTGACCATACTAAGGGTCATTTTCTTGGCCTGCCAACCTTTCTTCGTCCATGCATCTTTTCGAACAGCATTTTCCTGGGTATCGCCGAATCATCTATACGTGCTACGTGCCCGGCCCATCGAAGTCGTCCTAACTTTATAAACCTTACCAAGTCTATGTCCTTATAAAGGCAAACGAGTTCGGCATCTTTCCTTCTTCTCCAAATTCCACCCTCTCTAACAGGACCAAAAATCCTTCTCAAGATTGATCTCCCATTGAGTTCTACCAATGGGTAGTTTCTCTTTATGTAGTACATGCCATGTTACCAATTTCTCATTTACTTATTGTATTCACTATGTAATACAGTTGTAAATTCCATTAAAATAATTAAAAAAAAAAAAAAAGATTGATCTCTCAAAGATCAGAAGTCTATTTTCATCCTGCTTCTTCAAAGCCCATGCTTCTGATCCATAAGTTAAGACAGGGCGGACCAAGGATTTGTAGAGAGTGATCTTGGTCCTGTTAGAGAGGAACCTGCTTGTCGTATAAAAGGAGGAACAACAGATTTAAATTCGTAAAGGAAAGATGTAAGTAAATTAGTGAGGTGTGTGGTATTTGATGGAGGAGGAATGTGAAGATTTTTGTGGTAATAGAACTGTTAAGGATTAGACAAAATTTGAGTAGTATGTTGTTGAAGGTGGGGTTAAGGATTTTGAGGTGTATAATGTTGTTGTGGCAGTGTCCCATTATAAATGATTTCATTTTTACTTCCTAGTAGATGTGCAAAAGACACGGTCGGGTCTATGATTTTGGAAGGTTCTCTTCTTGATCCGGAATGTTCTTATCTTGATCCTACAGTTGCTAATTTGTTCAAAGATTTATGTACATCTGGATTGAAGTTCGCCGTTAGCCGGTTATCCTTTAAGGCACAAAGCACAAACTGCAGAATCTCGTTCCGCCAGATTTTTGCTACTCTCCACACTTTACACAAAGTGGCATATGATGGCAGTAAGTCTTGGTGTGGCCATATGCCTGACAATTGTGGCACTGCACGATTTTCCTCTAAAGATATGGCTTATCTACTATCACGCTTGTACTGTAGATTCTTCTTATTCTCAGAGGAAATTTTAGGCTGTTCTCTACTCTCATTCAAATCATTTGTCACCTGGTGCGGTATGAAATCTAACGTTTTCAGTCCTTCTATTGTTTCAGTTAGTTCTGAGAGGTATAGATTTCTTATAACTACTCTTAAAAATCGCTATTGCCGTAGCTGATAGTTATGAAAATCCACTTTGGTTTCTGTTAGATATTTAACAATTTTTTTTAGGATTTAGGTGTACCTGGTGATATTTTAGTGTCCATTGTTCTGCTAAGACTTGAATAGCTTCCAGGACCTGTTATTTTGTTTATTTGAGAACATAGTAACTGAAATTTTTTAATGTTTTTAACGGATGTCAGTGTAGGTCGGAGGTCTCGTGGTATCGAAGCAACTGATAAGGATTGGGAGTGATGATGAGTTTGAGGCTGAGGTTCTTTAATGTTCTCTTGTGTTGATGTAGCTGGCTGGGTTTATGTTCTCCGCAGCTAACTTTGTCACTGGAGGCGTTTGACAAGGTTGTCGAGGCTTATGTTTGACTGGCGAAGAACGAGGTGTCGGGCGTGAAAAACAAATTATCTAAGTAGAAGCTCTAATAAACATAGCCTGATAGAGATATCGCATAGGCTAAATGCGAACATGAAAAAAAAAATGAAAAGTATATATATAATTTGTAACTTTATACAGTAAATATCAATTATTCTTATGCACCCTTGACCTGTTTTAAATGAATAATCTCAGAGATTCCACTGAAAAACAAGCAAATCTGAGACCCGAGGTGGAAGCACAAACTTTCTCATCAGCCGATCGATCAGCTGTCCGTACAAAGTACTCATTCTCCTCAACATTAGTAATACTTAATAATGTTGAGGAGAATGAGAAAAATTGGAATGGCAGGAGGTATGTTATTAAAAATTATAGTACTATTTGGCGAGCTTGATTCTTTCGTCAAGAGCTGTAATGTTCATTACATTATTTGGAAAGAATTTAAGTAATAAGAAATATCTTACAATTAAAGAGAGAGAAAAAGACTTCGGGCGTACAGGATACCGTTGAATTAACCAAATTGACAATGGAATGGCAGGCTGAAGATAGAAGAAAGAGGGAAAGACCTTGATTATAATAGAAAAAGGATGTAGATGGAAGCATGACTGGGCAGGAGTCGACGGAATACAGGGAGATAGATAAGGAAGAATTGAGAAAAAGGCGACATTCCATTCCATTTCATTACTTTGGTTAAGTTGTTTCTAATGATAGAGCAACATATCTATTTCTCGTTAGATAAGATGGAATTCATAGTTTTATCATTAATCAATATATCAATCATTAATCAAGTGTTTTTAGATTTAGAATGAGAAGGTGGCCTCGAGATCTTCTATTCTAAATACATCTTTTTTTTTAAGAGTGCTACCAGTTTGTAGTACCTCAACATGTGTTTCCATGTTATTATTGTGTTATCACTTTAACTGAATGTATTTTTTTTTCTGAATACAGTTTTAAATATCAGAAATAAATTAAAAAAAAAAAAAGATTTAGTAAAAATCAAAAAAATATTTTGATTTACAATTTTCATGGATATGTGCACATTATTTTAGCTAGTGTATTAAAAGATGATAAGAAGAAAATAACCTGGCATTTTTATGTTATTTTCAAATTGATGAGACTTAGTCAAATATTCTTTTACAGAAACCTGCAAAGCAGAATGTGTTAAATTGAAATGAGTTCATTACTTTAACAGATATTAAAACAAAACATATTCTTCACTGATTTATATTAATTAAAAACTATTATATATTATTTATTTTAATTAAAAATAAATAAAACACCTGATTCGTCTGTGAAAGCTGGAGGTGCAGACTGTGGGGGCGGAGGTGGAGGTTCCAGGCTTTCAGAGCGCATTTTACTTTCACTGTGAGGTCTGCAAAGTCCTTCTCCTGTAAAAAAAAAAAGTTATAACAAATTTATAAGAAACACATAATGTAAAACATTCTTATTTAATCACTTTTCCTTTTATTTAAAATTTATACAGTATGTCTAAGTACATTCTTTATTTGTAGTGTACTGACAAGGAAAGGATATAGTCTTAGGGTTACCGATTTCAACCACATTTCTTTTGGTGATACTACATCGAAAAATATTAGATATATATCCAGTCGTTCTTTCCAATGGACCTTGGGAGCTAAGAAAAAAAAATTATATAATTTCAAACAAAATATATGTTATTTCTTTTTGTCTTTGTTCTGACCAGATTTTTAGGTTACTATTCATCAATCTCTTCTTATTTAAAAATTAAAAACAGGTGTGCAAGTGATTCCTCACTGATTTCAATTGAAATGAAAGTGAAATCGCTGAGCGGATAAGTGAGCACATGGAGTACTATAGAGAAAATAAACCGACAAGAATTATATTCCCGGCTTGTGACAATGAAGGGAATTCTCATGCTGTATCCTTTATAGTTACTGCCTGGTCTGGCCAGAAAACTTTATAAACATCCCACGGCAAGTGAGGATTCCTTTTGTTGTACATGCAGATTTTGAATCCATTTTGCAAAAAAAAAAAAAATCAGGAGGGAGGACCAGGACCTTCACACACGACTCCCTACCAGAGGTACCTTCCTATGAGTATCTGGACATATATAAAGAATGCAGACAACATTCCACGCCACTTCCTACCACAAGATTGCCCCACAAGACCTTACTGACCTTATTAAATCCAAACGTTAATCTAGGACTCTCTAGCAAAGATCCATATATCCTGATGATCGAAAATTATACAATTATTATTCCAAACCGATTAAAGCAATAATGGCTTCCTTTAGATACCAATCCTACAATTCCTACCTTTCTTTCCTGACGACAATTTCTTGTGGAAATGGACCGAAGAAATCCTCAGGTATCACTCTATTTTCTAACCCCCTCCCCCCCACCCCCGACACGATAATGGAACCTGGGCTTTGTCGGCTGAGACTAGAGCTGAAGAATTCGTCACACACCTATCCGTCACATTCACACCACAACCCGAAATTCACCCCACTCACACTGTTGAAGTTGAAGAATTCACCTTTTTGCGATTCCTCTCTCTTTAAGATATCAATCCGTCTGACGTCAACTTCCTTAAGAACAACATAAAACCTCGAAAATCAAATAAACATCATCTCCTTTTTTCCCAGATCCTTAGACAGCTTCCCCAAAAAAGCTATTATATTCCTTACATGGCTGTATAATTGTACACTCAGGACAACCCACTTTCCTCTGACGTGGAAACACTCTATAATTATACTCTACCTCAGAACTGGTAAACCTGCTAATAATACCTCATCCTATTGACTCAAACGCATCCTACCCATACCCGAATCTCACAATATCCCTTTAAATCAGTTTGGAATCAGCTCAAGATATTCCACTGTCCAACATGCCTTCGTGTTGTTGAATACATATCCGCTGCTCTTAAAAACAAGCAATATTGCACTGATGCCTTTCTGGACGTAGCCCAAGCTTTCGACTGGGTTTGGCACGATGGCTTGCTTTTCAAGCTCAAAACCGATTTACCCCAATCCTTGTACCTAGTCCTCAAATCCTACCTCTCTAACCATTCATTTGAAGTTCGCTGCTGCACTGAATCCTCCAATTATCATCCAATTGAGGCTGGTGTTCCACAAGGCAGTGTCTTGGGCCCATTTTCTATATCCTCTTCACTGCTGACATCCAAACCAATCCCGATGCCTTTCCTCCAACGTTCGCTGACGATACCGTCAGTTACCATACTGAACCTACGGATTTGAACTGTGAAGGTCAACTACATTTTCTAACATCAAACGGATTCAATCCTTCCAGTTTAAAGTCCTCCGTATAATAATCAATGTTCCATATTATGTTTCGAACAAAACCTTACATCATGTCCTTAACACCCCTTATGTCCTTGACGTTATTCCATCCCGATTCTCAAATTTTAACCTCAACCTATGCCAGCATCTTAATCCAATAGAACAATCCTTATTCATTTCCAGTCATCCATAGGATCCTCCTCGAAGGTTGAAACGGTAGTGGCCTCGAGATCTTTTGTAAATTTTTCATTGAAGTTCTAGCACTGGCGAGTTTTTTCCACTGAAGTCATGAGCGACTGTGGCTTTATTGCCCTCTCTCAGTCTCCACTCTAATGCCGGTGACGAGGCTGAGACAGAAGCACTGGGATCTCTTAGAGCCTCGCCTTTTCCTCTGCACGTGGGGAAAAGAGCTGGTCTTGGGGCTCCCTCGGCTGATTGTAAATATTCTAATTAAGTATGCTTGCTGTTTCGTTTGCTTGTTTTATCTATTTATTCATTTCTAATAATTTTCATCATTAATATTTAATTATTTAATTTCTTTATGTTTTATTTTTTTCATTCTTTTTTTTCAAAGAATTTCTGTATTGTTTTATTTCACTTTAAATTATACTTACTTGTTTTTATTACAGTTTTTACCTTTGTTATATATACATTATATATATATATATATATATATATATATATATATATATATATATATATATATATATATATATATATATATATATATATTTATATATATATATATTAAAAAAAATACATTTATATATATATATATATATATATATATATATATATATGTATTTTTTTTAATTTATTGATTTTTTTTTTTATTGCGTTGCAAATATGGTATAAATGTGCCTTACAACTCTAATACTCAGGGTTCTTAAGTGTGTTAAAATGTATTATGCCTCAATAAAAAAATTTAAAAAAAAAGATGCCCATGAATAATGCCATTTTCAGAAAGTTAATGGAGGATGTCCAAAAGTTGTTTAAGATTGTAATAATAAGTAAACGACGACTAAATAAACTTACAGTTAACCGACTTTCAAAAACAGAACTTTGTAAGCAGAATCGTTACTGGCAGTAAATTTGGGCTTTGAAAAGATCGAAATGAAAAAACCTATTTACGTAGCGATGACCATTTTAGTTCTCTCGAAGGGTTGGATGTACTTATTCTACTATGATAGGATATGTCATGGCCTTTGCCAGAATTCCAAGATACATTCTAAAAAAGGTCTCTGGACCACTGCCGCTTAAGCCTTCGAGGAGGATTGTAGGGATGAGTGGAACTAGATAGGAATTGTGGTAGGGGATTTGGATAATTTATAAGGTTCTGATGGAATTTGGAAAAATTTTCAGGGATAAGGTCAAGGACAAATGGGATATCAGCGGTAAAGAGGATGTAAAGGACGGAACCCAATACGCTACCTTGAGCAACACCAGCCTCAACTGGATAGCAATTGGAAAATTCAGTGCCGCAGCGAACTCGGAAGGTACGGTCAGGGAGGTAAGAGCTGAGGACGAGGTATAAAGACTGAGGCAGATGGTTTTTTTTTTTTTTTTTTTAATTTTATTTTATTGAGATTTACAACTGTATTACATGGAAAATACAATAAGTAAATGTGACATTGATAACATGACATGTACAACATGAAGAGAAACTACCCATTGGTAGAACTCAAATTAAAGTTCTATATTAGAAGATCCCGAGGCTATCTTTTCAGACGCCTCGGAGGGTTATCAGGGATCGAGGAAGAAGCAAGGTTTGAAACGAGAGGATTCGGATGGTTCTGTAGTTTCTTATGGAAGGACAGGTATCTGGATTGGGCCAAATCGGAAACATATGGAACATAAAGGTCTTTATGGATGATTTTATTGGTGATAAAGTAAGGAGCGTTGAGGATTTTACGAAGGATTTTGGATTGTAAGGATTGGATACGAGAGGAATTCGATGGTTTAGGTTTCCATGAGTCAGGAAGATATGTGGTGCGGAGTACAGCATTAAATATATAGGTTAGGAACAATATGGCTTTTTTAGGAAGAAATTTTAGGATCTGGGATGTGATTAGGTCATGGCCAGGAGCTTTGCGAGAAGGTAATCTATTAATGATATTGGATATGTCTGAAGGATGAAATGCTTTAGGTGGAGGAGTCAATTGGAGTGGGATATCCAATTCTGCTTCAATAAATTCAAGGTGGGTTGGATTAAGGATGTCTGGGTGTGGATTAAATGTTTTTGAGAGGTGCTGAGCAAATATTTGAGATTTTTCTTCATCAGATCTGGACCAGGTTTGGGTTTCAGTAATAAGTGGGTGGTTAAAATCTTTGAATTTAAGGAGCTTTTTAGTGGTCAACCATAGTGATTTGTCACAAGTAGTAAGTTTTTCTGTCATGTTAAGTAAATTTTGAACTTTGTATTTTCTAATTTCAGCTTTTAGTTGGTTAGTTAATTTGTTGTAATATATCTTATCTGATGGGTATCTAGTCCTGTGCCACTTCGATCTTGTTCTGCGTTTTTCCCTTAATAAGATACGAATATGCTGCGGCAAATTTGTCTGTTGGGAGTTGTCAGTTTTATTGGTAGATGTATTATTCTTTATTTTGTCACTTATAGATGTAGTAAGTTCTTTTATGGCTTGGATTTGCTACTTACCATTGGCCCATTGTTTATATGAACTTTTTCGTAGCTCCTGAGTTCTGCCATAAAACATTCCCCCTACTTACAGGAAACTCTGTATATAAATTGGCCAGTATTGGAAGAGTTTTAGATAGAGAAAATGTGCCATATCCCCCATCTACGCTGTGGTATGAAATGACTATAAAAAAAAATTAAGTTTGTAGTTTTTTTTTTTTTATTGAAAGATGAAGATAGAAAATTGTTACAATTAATTTTAAAGACAGTGAATTTCATATCCCTTTTAATTGAAATCTACATTATGAAAACATGTTCAAAATGGAGAAAGGTTTAAAAGAAATTATGGTTTCCAGATAAAAGATAATATATACCTATTATTCTTTTAGCTGATATATCATTGTTGTTAACGAATAAATGTGTGTTATGGTCACTAGCGTGGTATTAGTTTATCCTTAAACCAAAGAAATGTTTGA